CGTTAGACTCCGCTCTCGGGCAGCCGCTGGGTCCGGCCAGTCCAGCAGCCTCCGTGCAACGAAATGCAGAACGTGAGCAATGCCTCCTCACGGTGACGGGCAGTTGCCAGGCCTTGCTTTGTAAGCTCTCTTACCTGAGAAGTCACATCTTGCTCCCTCCACCCATGCCTAGAAATAGTGAACGCTTCTTCCCCGGTAATTCTGTTTTTGGTTTTTCTTTCAGAAAAGCTCAAATGCTTCAAAATATGGCAGACGTCTGGGGAAAGCTGTGAAAACAGATTTTTTTTTTTTTGTTATGTAATTATGACAAACTATAGTTGCTTGATAATGAAAAATAATTTGTACTCTCCCATGATTTGTCAACCTAGTGCTGCAGGGATTTCCTTCAGGAAAATATATCTGGACAGAAACACTCGTCCTGTATTTACTCTGTATTGTAAAAGGAAAGCAAATGCCCACTCAACATTCCTCTTCTTCAATTTCCGTTTGCTCTTCATGTTGTAGCTGTCTCACTACACTGCTTTCATATGCCCAGCTGATTAACACTCTCTTAAGGGCCTAATCCAGCTCAAATAAATTGAATTTGCATATGTGCCATTCGAGATAGCAGGTGTAAGTGCATATTCAGTCTCCACTACATAGCAGACAGCCTAAGCTGGCCTGTTTATATCAGTGGTACATATGCCAAATAAGTTTTGGGGATCTTATTTGTGGCTGCTATAGTGTACTTAAGCATATTTATATAAAAGCACATGCCAATATCTTGAAATATCACTGAAGTCCTTGAAATGAATTCCCAATAATTTCCAGTTATTCTTACAAAGCACAGTTGCTAGTTTTACCAGTTTGATATAACTAAGTAACAAAAATGTTGCTGGAGTTACATCTGTTAGCTAATTTTTTTATAAGGAAAAGCAGTCTAAGTACCTGTGATGTGCTCATACCTAATTGCAGTCAAAGCTGCTGGTAAACAGTTCATTCTAATGATGGGGAACTGTCTTGAGAAACTGATTATGTCACACCACAAAATGCTGGACGCTACCAATTCATGGATCTGTGGGCACTAGTTATTTTATAGGATAAGGCAAGAAAGTATTTTTAAGAGTTACTCCACCTTAAATTTACTCTCTTCCTATCTCTTTTCTCTCTCATCCTACTTTCCCGCTATCTGTTTAGTGCTAACATTTTAATTCATTGCTTCAGTCTGAGTAACTTTGACTGACTTACAGAATCCTTGTTTATGTAACTGCAGCTGAACAAAAAAGAATGGTGGTAATATATATAAAAGAAGGAAAAGTAGAAGAAAAAAAGGTCCTAAATATGCTACTACTGCATACATTCTGTTCTGCTGTCTGACAGCACAGAGGGAGAAATGTTACAAAAAGTTTTGTTTAATGATACTAATGGAAGTATCTTGCATATTGAGCCCAAATGCTCAGGTTGGTAATTAGTTGCCTAACCAGTGACAGGCCGTAACAGTAGACAATGTGACCACTGGTCTGTAGAATTTTTAGTTTATTTCAGCTGTAGAGCAAAAGAAAATTCTTGAAACAGGTACATTTATATTGTTCCTAATATGTTTCTTCCTGTTAATAATGAATTATGCCTTTGGTTATAATTTGTATATAAGCAGATTTATACTTGCATACTTCCATTCTTTTTTTAAGGAATACTTTTTGGAATAAATTTTTATGTTCTTGTGACATCCACAAGGTGGCACTCGATCTCTTTTTCAATATCTGCAGGTTTGCACTCGGGTTTTGGGCACAGGGTTTACAATCTTACCTCAGTAACAGAACAGATCTTGAGAAACAGTAAGTCAGAAAAATATTTGCTTAAGAATAACATCGTTAGCAATTTCACAGAAGTCTCACTGACGACTTATATCTCATTCTGTCCAATGGTTGTTAAAGTTAATCCTTTTTCTCAGTTGTGATGCATTGCTGTGATCCAGCTTAAAATTATGCATCCTTGAAACTGGACATGTTTTTCTTCTGTTATAAATTGTACCTAGTTCAGCATGGATGGAGGATTTTACAACAGTAGAACTTAATTATCTGTATTCAAATTTAGTAGACATGTTTCTTCAAAAAGTGCAGTTGAATTTGAGTCACAAACATGTATGCCAAGAAAAGCAGTTTGATAGCTCATACCTGCGGTTAGAAAACTCAGGCGCTGTTTCACGTAGCTGGACAGGAATTTCTGCTCTGTGCTGATGCTACATTTTTACAGCTATTGTTGTTAGTGAAAAGTCTTTAAGTATTTTTTCTGCTGTACATAATAGCCTTACAAGCCAGAATAAAGAAAAGAGAGCAGGTGTCGTGTCATCTGTGTAGGCTTTCTTTTGTACAGGAATAGACTGCATTGGCCCTCACTGCTATACTCTTTTAGAAAACTGAAGAGGCCTTGTTAATTTTCAAGCTGCAAGAGAGAAGGATTTCCTACCTATGCAGTAGCATCAGAAAGAGGAGAAGATGAAAATGGTGGCTCTAGTGACTCTCATTGCAGGGACAAGGTAACAAAGGAAATGGCTGCAATGTTTTTTCCTGCTTGCTCGTTAT